TTTAGACCAAGAGCATCAAATCCAGGGCAGGCAAGGAAACTTTCTAGGGTCGGCAGGGCGTGGGGACTTAGTTTCATTTCCCATGTCCTCTTCCTCGGCCTCCCACCCACAACCCTTGGTTAAGTAAGGGTACATAACCATATTGTCTACTAAGTCTCTTCAAAGTGTGTTTTTCTTCACTTTTCCAGATCTGATGGTGCACAATATTATGAAGGAAGTAGAGACGCAGGCCCTAGCTTTGTCCACTAACAGGACTGGCAGTGAGATGCTGCAGGAACTGTTGGGATTCAGTCCCTTGAAACCGCTTTGTCGCGTATGGGCTGCTCTGCGCTCCAACTTGCGCACTGTGGCCTGTCACCGATGCGGGGTCCATGTATTGCAAAGTGCTTTGCTACAGCTCCCTCGATTGCTGGGGAGTGCTGCAGAGGAGGAGGAGGAGGAGGAGCAGGAAGGGGAGGATGGGAAGGATGGTCCTACGGAGACCCTGGAGGAGCTGGTCCTGGGACTAGCCGCTGAGGTGTGTGATGATTTTCTTTTCTACTGTGGAGACACACATGGCAGCTTCGTGGTCAGAACTCTGCTTCAGGTGTTAGGAGGGACTATTCTGGAGTCTGAGAGAGCCAGGCCCCGTGGTTCCCAATCATCTGGTAAGTATTACAAGAGGAAAGTGGACCTAGGGGGAAGAATTATTTAGAAAGTTCAGAAGGAGACAGTAAACAGAAGACTAAGTCTTCATGGGGGAGCTTGACCTGGAAGTATTAGCTTGACCTGTCCTAATCTGAACAGGGCTTAGCAAGCCAAAGATTAGTGTGTGCAGAGGCCCAGAGGTAGGGATGTACAGTTGTGTTTTGGGGACGGCTATTAGAATGGACACAGGAGGAGAAATTTTTCTTTTTAAGCATGACTTAACATTTAAATGGACTCAAGCAAAAGTAACATACATACTGGACTCAAGCAAAAGTTCAGGAAAGAATACCCTTACTACATGCAGCCCAATCTGTTATTATTTTATTTTTTTTTCTTTTTCAAAACTTTATTTTGCTCTATTTCATTAAAAAAAAAAAAATGCTAGTTGAGACCGCTAACTTGATTTCATGATACAGTCTTGAGCTGTGATCCACATTTTGAAAAACTCTGGGAAATAAAGTTAGCGAGTTTAAATGAGGCTTAATTTTGGAATGCCTTGACTACCTGACTGAGGAGGTTGAACTGTCTTCTGTGGACCATGGGGAAGCTGGTTGAAGTTTCTTAGAAAAATTAAGACAGAAATGTAGTCTCAGTTCTGTCATCCAGAAGAGACATTCAGTTGTACTACATCTGTTCTGCATCTCCAAGTGGAATCCTTGTCCATCTATGGAATTTTTCTCTCCTGGGTGACAGTTTGTGATCTCCCCACTGCACATGTTCTTAATCTTCCTTCAGAAGCACAGAAGGCCCCAGCTCGGGAATGTAAGCCAGCTGATTTTGAAGTCCCTGAAACCTTTTTAAATCGCCTTCAGGACCTGACCTCCTCCTTTCTGAAGGACATTGCAGGTAAGGAGGGAAGTAGGAGGAGGGTCTCCTATCTACTTTTCTGGAGGTGATTTTACCACCAAGCAAGGCCCTCTGGTCAGGTTATTCCTCTTCTTTTCAAACCTGGTCTGGTTTGATGTTCAAACACTTCATATAGTCCCTTTGTGTCCATAGTGCCCTGTATCTTGTTGCCTAAAGTTTGAGGTTATGCAGGTTGTCTGGATTTTGAGAAAGCTGCTTTATTTCTGCCCTCTCTTCACAGTGTTTATCACTGATAAGATCTCCAGCTTCTGTCTTCAAGTGGCTTTACAGGTTTTACACCACAAACTTCCCGAGTTTTGCGCTTATCTCTGCAATGCTGTGATTGGCTACCTGAGTACTCGCAGTTCCTCAGTAGATGGCAGGTATGGTCAGGGCCTCAGGATCATTCAAAGTTGGTGGGGCTGTGTGAAATGAATGAGGTGATGTAGTGCAACTGTATTTTGCATGAAATAGAGTTAAGACTGCCTGATGCCCTTCTTGTCCCCAGTCCCCTACTGCTATTTCTCCGAGATCAGACGAGCTCCAGACTCCTGGAGCAGGTCCTGCTGGTGTTGGAGCCCCCAAGGCTCCAGAGCCTCTTTGAGGAGCACTTGCAGGGGCAGCTGCAGACCCTGGCTGCACATCCCATTGCCAACTTCCCTTTGCAGCGCTTACTGGATGCAGTCACTACCCCTGAGCTGGTGAGTTGGAAACCTGAGCTGGTTCTGTTTCTAATTCTTGATCATTGGACCTTATTTTATGGTCTGTCTGCCTCTATATATCTTTGACATTGTGCTGGCCATTGCCCTTGAAAAGCTATTCCTTGAGATTTTCCGGAGCTTAGGATAAATTTGCCCATCTTCCATTGAGGATTTGTTTTGACTTCTCTCAGGTATGAGGACCTGCAAGAGACAGGCTTCATTCAGGTTTACAGCTTGAGGTTCCATGGCCCACCCAGACTCTGGTACTTGGCTCTAAGCCCACATGAGTGCTAGAGCTGTTGCCATAGCTGCTCTTTTCCTTTGCTGCTTAGGACTAAGGTGGGCTTCCCTGTGGTCTCATGCATTGGGTGTTAGAGTGGAAGGGCAGGTTTAATTTTAGTCCCCCCTTGCCTCTAGTTCTCCCTTACACATAGGGAAGAGCCACTTAAAGTTCCTTCCTGTGAGGTGGCACCTCTAAGACTGCCCCCTTGTCCTGGGCCTTATCTAGCCAAACAAAAGTCCTGATACTGGCAATGCTTTTTATGTTTTATCTAGCATTTTTAGTTGTTTTCACTGGGAAGATTTCTCTGAATAATGTGGTCCACCATTACCAGAATGCCAAAGTTACATCCCATGTTTCCCATCAGCTGTCCCCTGTGTTTGAGGAGCTGAGCCCTGTCCTGGAAGCTGTATTGGCCCAGGGCCACCCAGGGGTAGTCATTGCCCTGGTGGGGGCCTGTCGCAGAGTTGGGGCCTGCCAAGCCAAGGTCCTACAGCTCTTGTTGGAGGTGAGTGGATATTACCCACAATCCGTTTATGCCCTCAGTCCAACTTCTACCTGTTAGGACTTATCTAATCTTAAGTTGTTGTACCTCTGGACTCAGGAAGTCTAGTGCCCAAGGAGTTCACAGGAATGGGGGAAAATGAGACCTGTAGGTGCCCGCCACCACTCCCAGCTAATTTTTTTTTTTTTTTTTTTTGAGACAGAGTTTCGCTCTTGTTGCCCAGGCTGGAGTGCAATGGTGCAATCTCAACTCACTGCACCCGGCTGAGGCCAAATGCTATTTCACAGTCCTGGAACAAAAATTGTCTCCCAGAACTAAGAGAGAAGTTTATTTAAGGGATAAACGTTTATTAATCCCTGTATGTGATAGAGACTGGGGATACAGCAAGGCATGATATCCTGCTCTCATGGAGCTCACATTCTTGTGGAGTTGGGGCTTCTTTCCTTTCCTGAAGGTGTTCCCTTAAAGTTGAGGTTAGGGATGGAGAAGTTCTCAGGTTCATCATACTTTGTCTTCTCCTTTAGGCATTCCACTGTGCAGAGCCCTCATCCCGGCAAGTGGCCTGTGTGCCTCTCTTTGCCACTTTGATGGCGTATGAGGTGTACTATGGACTGATGGAGGAGGAGGGTGCAGTGCCTGCAGAGCACCAGGTGAGGTAGGGGAGAGGCCAAGCCAGTGACTAATTGGGAGCCAGGCCTCCTAGGGTTTAGCAAGCCTCTGACTTCTGAGGTGAGAGTGGTGACTTCATCCAGGTGGAGGTGGCAGTGTTCTGGGGATGGGCTCATCCACCCGGCTTGTTGGTGCCTCCTAATTTCCTATCTCTGCGCTCCCAGGTGGAAATGGCCGCAGCCAGGGCCTTGGGGGACGTAACAGTCCTTGGGTCTCTACTGCTCCAGCATCTGCTGCACTTCTCCACTCCTGGTCTTGTACTTCGAAGTCTGGGTGCCTTGACGGGACCACAACTTCTGGTCCTGGCCCAAAGTCCTGCTGGCTCTCATGTGCTCGATGCCATCCTGACCAGCCCTTCTGTGACGCGCAAGCAGCGCCGCCGTGTGCTGCAGAACCTAAAGGTTAGATTTCTGGCTTCTGCCTTGATTCCCCACCATCATCCATTTAGAGAATATGAGCTTTCTCAGGACTGTACCTTCAGACTCCAAAAGGCTATGTAATTACTAGACTATTTTAATTCAGCCCCTAAACTCTTCAGAAAATTCACTCCCCGCAAGCCCCCAAAATACACTTTTGTGGACTTTGCTAGGGAGACCTACTTTGCTTGTCTCAATACAGGGACAATATGTGGCTCTGGCCTGTAGTCGCCATGGCAGCCGTGTGCTAGATGCCATCTGGAGTGGAGCAGCCTTGGGGGCTCGGAAGGAAATTGCTGCTGAGCTGGGTGAGTACCAGCCCCTCTCTTTGATGTTTCCAGACTTCCCTTCTCTTACTCCAGATCACTGGGTGGCTGGGAAGTCTACTGAAATTCAACAGTCTTTAGTTCCAAAGGGTGGTCTTGCTCATGGGTTCTTAGCAGTCTGCTTTCCCCTTCCCTCCCGCTGACTAATTGTGCAGTCCTCTGCCCTCACCCCTCCCTCTGACTTCTGTTCTTTGGAAAGTGAAGTGTTCACTGTACCCCAGTGGCAGTCCCAGGGTCTGGGGGAAATGGAGGGACCTTTACCTCAGGTAGAGTCTGTCTTTGAGCATGGTGGTACTAAACATGAGTGGTTCCCTTTGCAGGGGAGCAGAACCAGCAGCTGATAAGAGACCCTTTCGGCCACCATGTGGCTCGAAATGTGGCCTTGACTACCTTCTTAAAACGACGAGAGGCTTGGGAACAGCAGCAGGGTGCGGTGGCCAAGCGGAGGCGGGCATTGAACTCCATACTTGAAGACTGAGGCTTTGGATCTGGGACTGCGTGTTGATGGGGGAGGGCAAAAGGGGGTATCCACCCCATCTCTTTCCTGGTTTAAATTGGAGTCAAAAGTCGTAGTGGTAAATATTTTATATTTTTATTGGAAATGTTTTTGTTACTTTGTGGTGAAGGATATGAAGACATCTCAGGGTAAAGTCAGAGGGCTGTCATCAGTGTGCTGGGGAGTTTAGGGACAGGAGGCATTGGTAGGGGTTAGATGTAGCAGCAATCAGGCTGGGATCAAGATGCCTGGGGGACAGGCTTGTGGCCTTTCAGGGCAAGTGGGAGGCCAGAAAGGTGGCTAGGAAGGGACAGCATTCTTCAGGTAAGGGTATAGAACTTGGGATGTGAGGCATTATGCTGAAAGGTTCTCTGACAAGCGGATCAGAGGACAATGGGGAAATTGGGTGAGTTATCTAGCCTGTACTGTCTGCAGGTCCTGAAATTTGATGCTGTCATAGTCTTTGCAGTGTGTCTCTTGGAATGATTCTGGGGGCAGAAGCTCAGAGCCCCTTCTTAGTAGGAATGGAGGCGGCCCTTTTGCTGCCACTGCTCAGCCCCCTCCACTACATGACGAAGGGTAGAGGAAATTCCCAGCAACATATGGCCCAGGCCTTGCAGCAGTGTGGAGGTCCAACGAAGGAGCTCCCTGAAGGGCAGAGACAAGAGGAAATCAGATGATTTGGGAAACCTGGGAGGAAGCCATCAAGCCGGGAGATGAGGATTTTCCACAAGCAAGAGCTAACTAGGGGTAGGTGGGTGCAAGAGGAGGAATTATAGGGACTATCCAACTGTAGGGGATGGGGAAGTATGACATGTTGATTTCTGACCTGAGTACTTTCTTTGGGCCGAGTCCTTGAAAGTCACAACTCATAGAGTAGAGCCCGTAGAATGTGGCTTTGACATTCAGGCTGCCAAAGAGGTCTCGAGGGTTTTGCTTGTACACGTCAAAGGTGATGCGGGCGATGTCCTTGCTGTGCTTGGGCCTCTCCCGTCCCAGGCCATATGACAGCACTCCACTCTGTAGGACACCCTTGTCAGTGCAGTATATCCTCACACCAGACACCCACCACTAATCTCCATCGGCACCGCGTCAGACTCTCCCTCGCTTAGGCTTTCTGTCCACTGTGTGACATCCTTAACAATTCTACAACTCCCCCCGCACCTGGTCCCCAGGATCAGGGTTAAGCTAGAGAGGAAGCCCGGGAAAGCTCTAAAGGACGGGCAGTGGAAGCAGCCCCAGTATAGGCCTCTTACCCTTGCGGGGCTCCAGCTCTGACCAGACCCCAACACCATCAGGCACGTGTCATCCTCCAGCAGCTGGAAGAAGTCCTCACTGTCCACTGCAGTTCCATCCTCCTCTAGCACCAGGGTTAGCACTCCATTCAGCAGTAGGGTCTCCAATGCCTGCCCAATGGCAAGAAGCAAGAAGGAAGGTATCCCATGCCCCTTCCCTCTTTAGCTGCCCAACATCCATCAGTTGGCTCTAGACATTGGTCGATGTCCCACCTTGACTTTCCGGCACTTTGATACCTCCTAAAGGCTGCAGCTCTCCGTGTTCTTCAGGTTTTGGGGGATCCTAGCTAGAGGCTGAGCTTTTTCCTCTTTGCTCCTACCATGTCATTGGCATCTCCCCTTGCTCCCCTCCAAGTCACTCCTGGTTTGGAATTGGAAAGCAAGCCAGGTTCTCATGAAGTCCACCCTTCTGTCTTATCTACAATGCTGCACCTCACTTCCCACACCCTCAGAGTTCTCCAGAAGTGTTTTCAGTAATAGTGTTTAACCTTTTTGAGTCCTTACTCTGTGCCGGGTATGAGGACTTTACCTACATTATCCTCTTACTCCTTTCAACAACCCTAGGAGGTGATGTGTTATTATTACCTTTTTATAGATGAAGAAACTGAGGTTTTGATAGGTTGAACAACTTCCCAAGGTTTGACAGCCAGGAAGTGGCAGAATCAGAATTTGAACTTGATTTGTCATACAAATTGCCTTCCATACTGGCCTCTGAATTCCATCCCTCCAACTCTCCCTATCTCCTGCTAACCCCTGCTCCCATAGAAAAGCTCACTAGGTGGAAAATGAACAAACTGACCGGAGCTCATGAGGCCCACCCCACTGAGCTCTCAGTGGGAGGAGGCAGCTGTGTGACTTCAGCCCTCTCTGCTCCATCATCACAAGTTGCCACTGTTGTGGAGCCCCTTGGCTACCCCTGCTAAAGGAACCAAGGAACTTGGCCTACTTACTTTGGCTAGCAGCTCCTGGCGGGTGGCAGCTGTCAGGCCTTTCCGGATGGTCCGCTTGTGATTACAGACACGGAAAGGTCGCTGGGGTGGTGAAGCTGAGGTCCAGACCCTCCGTCCAAACTCCGAGCTTATATTAGATACTGACCTGGTAGTTGAGAAGAAAAGTCAAGAAGGGGCAAGGAGGGGCTTAGTGAGTGTAAAGGGCGTGATGGGGGTAGAGTGGCTAGAGGGCTAGGGAGGGAGAGATCTAGGTTTATAGATGGTAGGGATGAGGGAGAGACCATGGAGTACAGGTGGGGGCGGGTGGGTCAAGAGCTTGACAAGCCCACTATGGAGTGGGGAGCAGAAGAGGAAGGGGTACTGGTTAGTGTCCTAGGGGCTGAGTGGAGTATTGTTGCCCTGCTTATATCCCCTAAAGGTAGAGGGTAGAGCGGAGGATTAGCAGTCACCTGAGTAGGTCACTGGGGTTCAGAGCTGAGAGGTACTCCATGGTGGATGGGAGAGTTCCTTCCCTGGAACTTCTGGGCTGGGTGGTTCTCTCCTGTGCTGGGGCTTTAGTGGTGTTTTCTGTTACAAACCTGGGATCTCAGCCCAGGGCAACGTGGGAATGAGTCAAGCCTGGACTCTGGCCCCCCTGCCTGACCAGTAAGAAGGGCAAAGTCCAAGGGGAGGGATGAGGGAGGGGCCAGATGGGGTCCTGGAGGAAGAATTGCCTGGCAAAAGCCACTGGAGCTTGTATGTGTGCCTTTGGTGATGACATGTGTTGTGAGGGTAGATGGGAACCATGTAAAAGGATGAAACGTGACCTCTGGTGTTTTTTTATTTCTATGAGAGAATTTCTGGGGATGGTTTCTGGCTCTCAGACTCTGAGAAGCTGCATTTTATGTGAGTGGCTCTGTGTGTGCTGCCACCTACTGGAGTAACCATAAGCTGCAGCTTTAGGAAAAGGGATCCCGGGGTGGAGTATGGGGAAGCTGGATGGCAGCATGGCAGGGCTTTGGAAAATGAGAGGTGAGACTGTGTCCAGGAAGGGTGTAAGGAGAGGATGGATCCTGATCCATGGATTCAGGATCATTAGGGTCCTGTCTGGGACCCCAGTTTTCCTGCTTACCTGCTCCTTCCTCCTTGGTCAAAGGAGGGGCTGGTTCATTGCTCTGACTTCGGTTTCCAGAACTGCCTGTGGAGTTCGGTCACACTTAGGTCATCTTCTCTCTCACCTTTCTGCTTTTGCCAACTAATGGACGTGAAGGAGATGTGAATGGGGCAGGAATGTCCTTTGATGGCATCAAGAATTTAGCTTCTGGTGCACTGTGTCCCAGCTCTGATTTCAGTTGCAGCCGTGATGGACAGTTGCATGGAAGCTGAGACTCTCACTGACAGTGAAACCCTCAAATGAACACAATCCCTACTTTCCTGCCCAGGATCCTTATAGGGTCCCCCAGCTTCCCCACTTTTTTTCTGTGTCCTGACAAAGAAACACAGAGTAACTTGATTGCCCTGTGACCTGGCCAGCTGCATTTCCCCTGGAGGCTTGAGCCCAAGCCAGAGCCTTGAAAAGGTATTCAGGTTGTTGCTCAAAACACAAAAAAACTGGCCCTGGCCCTGAACCAAATACCTTGAACCCTCATAAACTCCATACCCTGACCCCTTTGTTTTGGACATATCGAGATAGAACAACTCTTTCTCTCACTGTCTGTTGTAAGGATATGCTGTAGTCCACTCATTAAGTACATTTTCCTAATAAATGCTTTGGACTGATCACCCTGCCAGTCTTTTGTCTTGGGCAATCTGTACTTTTCTCAGAGATTCCAAGGCCTACTGAAGGGACTTAACACTCTTAATGGCTTTCCCCTCTCGTTTTACCCTATGCCCTCACTTCCTGAGTTAACCTCCCAAATACAGGATTACCGGTACCCAAGCCCTTAGCTCAGGCTCTGCTTTGGGAGGCCCCAACCTAAGACAGTGCTCCTGGTGCCCTGCGCAAGGAACCTCAAGTTCTGGCTGTTACTTGGGCTGAGGCCTTTCTTTTCCCTTCCCCCAGTTCTATCCATCTGCCAGGCCCCCGTCAAATCTCTTCATTTCCAAGTTTTGCTTGACTTTTCCAAGAAGAGAGGGCTGCTGCTTAGTATGTCCCTACTACTGCATCCTTTCCTTTCTTGTCTTGTATCCTTGTACAGCCTGGAAATGGGATCTCTTCATGGTTGTGTGTCATGACTCCCTAACCATTATGCCTCCATGCATCTCCTGTTCCTCCTGGAACCTGGCAGCATGCCTTACATGGAAAGGCTGTCACTGACAGCCCGGTGAGAGCCCTGAGGGTGGAGTGACTGGGGCAGGGCCCGAGGCAAGAGTTGGGAGGAGGTAGGCCAGAAGCTGAAGAAAAGGGGCTCAGCCGGACCAGGAGACTGGAAAACAGGCAAAGATAGAGCAGATGGGGGACTGAGTTGTTTGGGTCACCTTCTCTGCAGACCAGAGAGGCCAAGCAACATACATGCTGCAGAAGGTGGGCTGGGAAGATTGGGGCCAGAGCTGGGGGAGGGATGAGAACAGAAGCAGGACCAGGGTTAGGATTCAGCAGAGTCCTCCCATTTCCTTCCACGGCCAGGGAATCTTACTACCCCACTTCAGCTTATGCTGTTTCCTGGCAAGGCAGGCTCTCACATGCCTGGACACTTGGATACGTTGGTGATGGGAAGGAGTAGGGTGAGGGAGGGGCCTCAGGAGAGGCCCAGGATGAGCCTCATCTTGTCCCTCCCCATTCTTGCCTTACCCGCTGCAAATGTGATAGGCATAGGACAGGAGTAGGCACCTCGCCCACTGCTGCTTAACCTTTCAGCTTCTCCAGGCCCCCAGTCGTGCTTGCTCCCACCTTGGTAAGTAGATCTGCGCACATCCCTTTATACCCCACCATCCACTTTTGCCCAGATGTGCTAGAATGGGGCTGGACAAAGAAGGAGGGGCCAGACTAGAGGAGTGGTGGTAGAGATAGTGACAGCCTGGGGTGAGGACTTTATGCCTGTTTACCACTGAGCTCTGAGAAGGAGCCAGGAGTGGGGCAGGTCAGCTGAGTGGGAGCAGGGGATCTGGGTTCCAAGAAGGAGTAGTGTTTGAGGTGGGGTCTGGGTCCTCGTGGAAGTCAGGACTCCCACGCAGAAAAGAGGCAGGGTGCAGGCAAGTAAGGAGGAGGCATGGCCCCTTCTCTTCGGACATCACAGGTGGGGTTTTGCTCCACCCCTGAACACCCTCTGTGGTGCCTTCCACCCACCTGTAGGCCCAGAAGGATGTCCGTCTGCTACCGTCCCCCAGGGAACGAGACACTGCTGAGCTGGAAGACTTCGCGGGCCACAGGCACGGCCTTCCTGCTCCTGGCGGCGCTGCTGGGGCTGCCCGGCAACGGCTTCGTGGTGTGGAGCTTGGCGGGCTGGCGGCCTGCACGGGGGCGACCGCTGGCAGCCACCCTTGTGCTGCATCTGGCGCTGGCCGACGGCGCGGTGCTGCTGCTCACGCCGCTCTTTGTGGCCTTCCTGACTGGGCAAGCCTGGCCGCTGGGCCAGGCGGGCTGCAAGGCGGTGTACTACGTGTGCGCGCTCAGCATGTACGCCAGCGTGCTTCTCACCGGCCTGCTCAGCCTGCAGCGCTGCCTCGCGGTTACCCGCCCCTTCCTGGCGCCCAGGCTGCGCAGCCCGGCCCTGGCCCGCCGCCTGCTGCTGGCCGTCTGGCTGGCCGCCCTCTTGCTCGCCGTTCCGGCCGCCATCTACCGCCACCTGTGGAGGGACCGCGTATGCCAGCTGTGCCACCCGTCGCCGGCCCACGCCGCCGCCCACCTGACCCTGGAGACTCTGACCGCCTTCGTGCTTCCTTTCGGGCTGATGCTTGGCTGCTACAGCGTGACGCTGGCGCGGCTGCGGGGCGCCCGCTGGGGCTCCGGGCGGCATGGGGCACGGGTGGGCCGGCTGGTGAGCGCCATCGTGCTTGCCTTCGGCTTGCTCTGGGCTCCCTACCACGCGGTCAACCTTCTGCAGGCAGTCGCCGCGCTGGCTCCACCTGAAGGGACCTTGGCGAAGCTGGGTGGGTCTGGCCAGGCAGCGCGAGCAGGAACTACGGCTTTGGCCTTCTTCAGTTCTAGCGTCAACCCCGTGCTGTACGTCTTCACCGCTGGAGATCTGCTGCCCCGGGCAGGTCCCCGTTTCCTCACGCGGCTCTTCGAAGGCTCCGGGGAGGCCCGAGGGGGCGGCCGCTCTAGGGAGGGGACCATGGAGCTCCGAACTACCCCTCAGCTGAAAGTGGTGGGGCAGGGCCGCGGCAATGGAGACCCGGGGGGAGGGATGGAGAAGGACGGTCCGGAATGGGACCTTTGACACCAAACCCTACAACCTGCTGCCCTTCCCTCTCCCTTTCCATCCTCTCACCCTCTGGAGCTCAGTGTTCTGGAACATTTGGGGACCCTTCTTTGACTAGAGTTTGGATCTGACTGGGTAGGATTACTATACACCTCAGGCAGGCCCAGGCTCCTCCATACTGAGGGATTATGAGGGTGGTGATGGTCCCTGTTAAGGACTATTGCGTGCTTGCAAGTTGGCATGTACCCATGTGCCAGCACTGCTTACTTGTTGCCAATAGCTGTTATTGTGAAATACACTGGGAAGCCATTAGATGATGACTTAAGTGTGCCTCCCTTGGTGGTTCTTCATGCCTGAGTTGTGCTGAAGCCACCTAGTTCCCTTCTGGGTCAAGTCAGGGCTGGGCAGTGCCGGCCTTCAGTGGCATCTTGACCTGCCCTCCTCAGTCCAGGTGCCCTGGTTCCACAGGCCAATCCATAGAACCACTCTGGAAATAAAGGAGAAAATGGAAGAAGTATGGGAGCTGGGATGAGGGGTAGGAATGGGATCCATTCTCTGAGGCTTATAAAAGCCTCTGGGGGAGGAAATGGCTCTGAAGGGGAAACTGAATCTGTGGGGTTTGAAAGGAAAGTTTTCCTGCCTGTCTTGTGTTTGGTCCAGTGGGTGTGAGAGAGGCACACAGGGAGTGGACAGTGGTGTAGGGGCCCTGGGAGTCTGAGACTTACCTTCCTCCCTGACCATCTGTTCCTCCCTGCAAAGGCCACCTGACGTGAAAAGGAGCCCAGGAGCAGGCACTCAGTCTGGGAAGTTTGGAGGTTGGTCATCAGGGGGTATGAGGAATGGCAGGAATATTTAGAGGACAGGAATAATTTTTCAGAAAAGTGCCACCTATTCTTTTTCTCTTTGCCAAGTCTGGGCTCCTTCCAAGATGCTGCTAGCTATTCCTGGCCCCTTCCCCAATACTTATCTGCCCCCACCTTTTGGAATCCATATCTAGGTCTAAAAACGGTTCTAGATTCTGACACCTTTGATTGGGGGATGTAGAATGGGATTCTTTTCAGGGGACATCCACAAGTACACACTCGTGGTCACTAAGGTGACCAGCTCATCCCAGTTGGCCCAGGACTTTCCCAGTTTTAGCACTGAAAATCCCTTGTCCCAGCCCTGTCGGTTTCCCAACAAACTGAAATGGTTGGCCACTCAAGTGGCTACCCTGACCATCACCCCAGGCTCTACTTTAGTGACTGCTCATACCTCCCTGCCTCCCAAACAGAAGTCGAAACAGAGCAAAAGAAACCCAGTCCCCAGGGTCATGCTGGGGCTACCAAAACTGGGATTGACTAGCATCTGTGAACTAGAACAGCAGGGAGTATGCTTAGAGTGCCTGGTCCTGGGTTTGGGGAAGAAAGGCCATCAAGGTAGATGTGGGTGGGGAACAACTTGGGAGGGGTGGCAAGGACAACCCAGTTTCTCTCTGAGGGGACCTCTGGTTGACCCTGGAGCTTCTGTCCCCAAACACAGGCCTCATGGGATTCTTTCTGTCCTTGTGTGCTGGGCAGAGGTTCCCTAAATTCCCTTGTTGCATATTCCCCATCTCTGACACCCAGTGCGGTCAGAAAGCCCTTCCTTAACTCAGACTTCAGTTCTTGCTGCGGTTTCTGCCCATTGCTTTTCATCATATCCTCTGCCTGACAGCTACGAGGTCAACTCTGCTCTGGCTTTTCTCCAGGCAGAGCAAGTGGGGGCTCTGGAAAGGTTAAGGGATCTCAGTGACCACCATTACACTTTGCATCTTTCCTGAGAAGTGAGAGTTGAAAGGGAAGCAGGAAGGCCCATGGTCAGATTGAAGGAAGGAATTTTTAGTTTCTTCTTTTCTTTTTCTTTTTTTTTTTTTTTTTTTTTTTTTTTTTTTGAGATGGAGTCTCACTGTGTCACTCAGGCTGGAGTGCAGTGGTACGATCTCAGCTCACTGCAGCCTCCACTACCTGGGTTCATGTGATTCTCCTGCCTCAGCCTCCCAAGTAGCTGAGACTACAGGCACATACCACTACACCCAGCTAACTTTTGTATTTTTAGTAGAGACGGGGTTTCACCATGTTGGCCAGGCTGGTCTCAAACTACTGACATCAAGCGATCCGCTCCCCTCAGCCTCCCAAAGTGCTGGGATTACCAGTATGAACCACCACAACCCACCAGGAATTTTTAGTTCTTAGCTTTTGCAGGAGACTTCAAGGAAAGGAGATGTTCCTCTGTGCAGGAAATGGGGAAGGTGACCATTTTTGCATTCCTGGTTTCCCGTCTTGGCAGGGTAGTCATGAGGCATCACTGTTCCTGCTCTCCCACTCCTGCTCCTCATGCTCAGCCTGCCTAGCTCGGCCTCAACTTTCTCTGTGTGTCTAAAGTGGAACTGGATAGAAGGCTGTGGGAAGATAGGAAAGAGATGGTGCCAATCCCCTTGCCCAGATCTTACATCCAGACTCAGCAAGGCAATCACATGGGCAAGCACAAGGCAGGGGTTTGGGGAAAGGGGAAGTAATTGGCATTCTGTGTGATACCAAGGAGACCATTTGGATTTTGGCTTCTACCAAAGAGAATGGAGAATTGGTTGACCTAAATGGAACCAATCCCTTTAAGTAAGGCGAGGAAAGGGGGTGCTGGAAGATGGCCATACAACCTAGATCATAGCTTGAACTGAAACCAAGAACAGAGTGCTGCCCCCTTCGGCAATTTACTGACATGCCCTCTTTAAATCATGATGTTATCTAACCCAAACCCAGACCCAGGACCTAGTCACAGCTCCAACCTACACTTCCTATTAATTAAAACAAACAAACAAACAAAAAAAAACTACATTATTACTGCAAAACAAACAAACAAAGATATCAGCACTGTAGCCTCTCAATCTGAGCCCATTTCCCTTCTCTAGCTACCATACCTCCTTCTCCTATATGATACCATTCACTACTTTATTTAATTCTCCAGTCTAGACCTGCATCTTGAGACCACACCCAGCCTACTCACTCCCCACACCCCTCTTTCCTCTCACTGCTCCTTCCTGGTCTCTTCTCATCTGGCTCCACCTCTGAGGAGTCCTCAGAGAAACCCTTCTGGGTTGCCCTGGAACACAGACTATCCCCTCTCCTAGTGAAGGGAGTGGGTAGGGGTTTCAGCCCCACCCTCAGGAAGATGCGTCTTCCCTGTCCTCTGCTCTATGGTACTTCCTCTCTGGCTGACTTAGCAAACAGCGCCTAGACCGGGGGCCAGGCCCTTGGCAGTGGGACAGATCCTGGGATAGGCTACGGCACCTTGCCCTGACCCTGGGATTGGCGTCAGCTTCCAACCAGTTCCTGTCAAAGCTTGTAAGTAAGTATCCTGGGAACGGCAGTGGTTGTGGTGGTGGTGGGACGGTGTGCAGCCATGAAAGAAGGTGCAAAGGAATCTCCAAAGAAAGCCTGACCAGTGTAAAAGTTGGGAGGCTTTGTCCTTGTCACTTATCCACTAACTCTTCCCCTCCCTGTTATTCCTGGTTGACCCTGGGCATCTCTGGGGACAGTAGGCAGGTGATTGGGAAAGTTAATGGGATTGAGGGGATGAGGGCCTGGCAGGGGGCAAGAAAGCTGGCCTTTCAAGGGGTGCAGCATTGGTAGGAACTCTCAGGTTGGTTCTGGGCTTTAGGGTCTCCTAAGGGGAGGAGACTGAAAAGGTCTGGAAATGCTGCTGCTGCTGCTGCTGCGGTCACTGTATATTTTGCAATTGGGTCTGTGGGCAGGAAGGGGCCCCATGACCCAGTTAGGAAACTAGTCTTTGTACTCAACCCGATCCCTTTAAGATGTCAGTCTGCAGCGATGGGGGCAGTATATTTCAGGGGGACCTCTGATGCTGCTGACCCTGGAGACAGACTAGAGTTCTCAGTCTAGGCGTGTCTATGGTGTCAGGAAACCCTTGGTCCTCTACTCTCATGTGTTTGTCCGCCCTCACTCTCCAGGTCCTCCAGACGGCCATGAACACTACATCTTCTGCAGCACCCCCCTCACTAGGTGTAGGGTTCATCTTTCTGTTGGCTATCATCCTGCTGTCAGTGGCGCTGGCTGTGGGGCTTCCCGGCAACAGCTTTGTGGTGTGGAGCATCTTGAAAAGGATGAAGAAGCGCTCTGTCACTGCCCTGTTGGTGCTGAACCTGGCCCTGGCCGACCTGGCCGTATTGCTCACTGCTCCCTTTTTCCTTCACTTTCTGGCCCAAGGCACCTGGAGTTTTGGATTGGCTGGTTGTCGCCTGTGCCACTATGTCTGTGGAGTCAGCATGTACGCCAGTGTCCTGCTTATCACAGCCATGAGTCTAGACCGCTCACTGGCAGTGGCCCGCCCCTTTGTGTCCCAGAAGCTACGCACCAAGGCAATGGCCCTGCAGGTGCTGGCAGGCATCTGGGTGGTGTCCTTTCTGCTGGCCACACCCGTCCTCGTGTACCGCACAGTAGTGGCCTCGAAAAAGAACAACATGAGCCTGTGCTCTCCGGAGTACCCCAGCAAGGGGCACCAGGCCTTCCATCTAATCTTCGAGGCCGTCACGGGCTTCCTGCTGCCCTTCCTGGCTGTGGTGGCCAGCTACTCCGACATAGGGCGTCGGCTGCAGGCCCGGCGCTTCCGCCGCAGCCGCCGCACTGGTCGCCTGGTGGTGCTCATCATTCTGGCCTTCGCCGCCTTCTGGCTGCCCTACCACGTGGTGAACCTGGCCGAGGCTGCCCGTGCGCTGGCCGGCCAGGCCTCCGGGTCGGGGCTTGTGGGGCAGCGGCTGACACTGGCCCGCAGCGTACTCATCGCGCTCGCCTTCCTGAGCAGCAGCGTGAACCCCGTGCTGTACGCGTGCGCCGGCGGCGGCCTGCTACGCTCGGCGGGCGTGGGCTTTGTCGCCAAGCTGCTGGAGGGCACGGGCTCCGAGGCGTCCAGCACCCGCCGCGGGGGCAGCCTGGGCCAGACCGTGAGGGGCGGCCCCGCCGCTCAGGAGCCCCGTCCTTCCGAGAGCCTCACTGCTTCCAGCCCTCTCGAGTTAAATGAACTGAACTAGGCCTGGTGGAAGGAGGCCCACTTTCTCCTGGCAGAATGCCAGCCCTGAGCCAGTTCTGTACCTGGAGGAGGAGCAGGAGCGTGGAGGGCATGGGAGCGTGGGAGGCGGGAGTGGAGTGGAAGAAGAGGGAGAGGTGGAGCAAAGTGAGGGCCGAGTGAGAGAGTGCTCCATCCTGGCTCTCACAGGCAGCTTTAACCATTAAAACTGAAGTCTGAAATTGGGTCAACCTTGTGAGTGCGGTACGTGTGCTGTGGGCATCGGGGTGCTTGTGGGTGCCCTGGTGGGACCCCTCTCAGTAGTCGAGAGTTACCTCCTTTAGTTCCCCATGATTTAGAATTTTGGAAAGGACACAAGGACAAACATAGATTGCCCCCATCCCAGGTGATTCTGAGTACGTAGTCTGCAGATAATACTTAGCAAAATGCAGTCTGCGGACTCCTAAAGCAGCTTGTCTAGGAAGACCACCCATGTGGGCCTATCACTCCAAGCTCTGTGACTCAGGGGACCTTCTGAGAAAATAGCACTGCTATGAAACATCTTCCCTGAAGCCTGTGATAAGTCTTCTTGTTAGCATGACTCCAACTTCCTGCCAATAATCTTTATCCTCTCTGTAGGAGGTATTCTAGGGGATGCCTTCCTTCCTTCCTTCCTTCCATTTCACAAAGAGGTCAGACTTGAGGACTAAGTCATTAGATCTTATCCCTTAGAATTCTACATATCAGCATCTGCTAACCTCCACAACACACCCTGGCACAGGGTGGGGCTGAGGGCCCCAGGAAACAAAGATTCCCAAAAGTGAGAGGGATGAGTCATTATTTCCTAGAAATGACTGTTGTTTTAGAGAACCTTGGTCCAACTCTGTTCTGACAAGGTTTTAGGAAGATGGCAACAACAGTGGCAGCAGTGTACTTTTTGGATCTTTCTCATAAAAAAACAAAAGAGCAAGTAACAGAGTGAAACCAAATATTCACATGCAACATCCGCAACAAACCTAGTATGTCAAGGTATCTCCCATGGACTCCAAAGTATGAGCCAGTGAGAGTGAGTCATCAATACCTCAAGACCCATATACCAGCATCTGTGCAGAAGGATACAGAAGGAAGCAAAGGGATGTTGGGTGGATCTAAGAAGAGGAGACCCCCAAGCTGTCTACAGATCCTTACTGGAAAGCGTGGTGTACCAATTTGAGAACAGCAGCTGAAACTGGGAGGGACCTCACAGAGTATTTCTCAGACCTCTCACCCATTCTATATGGTGAACACATGATAGGTACTTATTTAGTGTTTGTTGAATGAATGAAGTTCAAATGACATTTCCCTGGAGACTCTTCCAGTATTTGTGAGTAGGGGGCAGGAAAGGGCAAATCTTTGTTTTGAGCCATGTGGCTAAATTCTTTACGCTTCCAAGGTGTACAAAATGCTGGAATCAAGTTGGCAGAGAGGCTGAGGGAGTTCTCTTCCTGAGCTTGTGAAAAAAATCACTCCATTTCAACATGCTCAGTCTCACATGCATGCATGTGTGCACACATATGCACACACACACATACACACACACACTCGCACTAAAATTGGCCTGGGAAGAATACTTCCCACTGAAGGGCAAGGAGAAGGTGATCCCCAGCTATATCAGCAGCTTCTGACATCAATGGGCTCCAGGCACACCAGAGTCTCTTTATTGAGGTTCTTAGAAGGGGAGTGCAATCTCAGCCTAGGGTAACTGAAGGAGGTCCACTTCGTGTCAAGTCTGTGTTCAGGAAGTAGGTGCAGAGCTGCCCTTTGCCTTTGACCTTGATGACCCCCCGGCTGTAGCAGGTGTAGCCCAGGGACTGTAGGGCCCAGGCTGTCTCCTCAGTCACCTACAATTGGAGGGGGGTGAGGGAATATGGAGGTGGCCCTATTCTTAGTTCCCCTCCCCCTATGCCTCCAATGTTGTTCACTCACTTGGATTTTGCCAAGGACTCCTGTACTCTCCATGCGGCTGGCCACGTTCACTGTGTTGCCCCAAATGTCATATTGTGGCTTCTGGGCCCCAATAACTCCAGCTACTACTGGTCCGTGGTTCAACCCTAATAAGGGATGTGGTAATGACAGACTTGGAGAAGGAAGAGGGGAAGAGGAAGCACAAGGAACTAGAAGGAAGGGAGAAGAGCCTGGGGGGCCCTAGAGGAGAGGAGGGGTCTCTAAGGCTGGAGGAATGTAGCTTAAGAAAAAGAGTGGGAGAGCCTCATACCTCCTGGCCCAGCAGCTTCACACCCCATCCCAGGGAGTGAGTTAGGAAAGGGGCTTCAGGATGAACTGGGAGCAGCTAACAAAGGACTTGGAGTGGGGCAAGCTCAGGAAGGTGAGGAGGTACCAGACTGTTGCAGCAGGGGAAGTCTCTCACCCACACGCAGGCGGAAGTTGTTGAATGAATGCTTGTTGATGACGTCCAGCTTAGACCCCAGGGCAACGGCAAATTCCACCATAGTGCCAAGGTGGCTGCAGCTCCGTTCAGCATCCTGGCAATGGGCCCACGCACCAGGGTGGGCCAGTGAGGGCACAGGAATAAGTCCCACTAATGAGCCCATCAATGAGAGACCAGAGGAGGGTGGTAAGTAAGGAAGGGTTGCTGTACCTGTTGTGCATCCTGTCCAGAGGTGGCATTTAATCCTGTGGCTGCCATGTAGGTGCTGCCAATGGTCTTGATCTTCTCCACCCCACTGAACTTGGGCTTGGAGAGCAGCTGTATGTAGAGAAGAGTCCTGTCCCCAGTCTCTCTTACTCTCTCCATCCCCTCTCCCAGAAGCCCAGCCCCAAGCCTTTGGAGTTAAAGGATCAGGCTGTGGGAGTGGGGATGGTGTCAGGAAGGAGAGGGTTGGTGGTGGGCAGTGTTGCTGGAGTGGGTAGATCTGGGGGATCAGAGGAGGCGAGGGAGTACTGTAGAGGGGAGGATTGACTTCATGGCCAGAAAAGCAAAGTGGAAGGAGGTACTGGGGGAAATTCTAGAATCTAGGACATAGGGTCTGGGAGACTCTTGGAATTTTCACCTCATCAAAATCAGCAATTATTTCATTGAGCAGCCTCAGACACTCTAGGCCCTCATGATTGATGTTGGATTCAGAGTAGAACTCCTTGAAGTCTGGGACTGAAGCGAAGAGGACACAAACGCATTCGTAGGACTGGTGGTAGAGATCCTGGAAGAGCAGGAGACTGGAGTGAGGGGTGCATGTCATGTTCCTCTCCTTTCTAGGTCTGTGTGGGGCCCTCCTCCCCATGTCACATTCCTGGTCTCCCTGTTTAAGAAGAATTGGGAAGGAGGGAGAGGAGTAGGGCCAGGCTACCCCAGGGAAGTGACTTAGGAGTCAAAGCTTGGATCTCATTGTAATTCTAGAAAAGACAGAGGTTTGGGGTCAGGATCACCTCACAGCAACACGAAGGGAATCACTCCTAGAAGTGGGATCCTGTCAATGTGAATTATTTCTATATCCTATCCTACTGCTGAAAGGTGTTTAAGTCAATTAAGTCAGCTACAAAACCAAAGGTAAAACGTGTTTAAGTGTTTAAGTCAGTTAAGATAGCTATAAAATGAAAGATAAAGTAAGCAACAATAGGGACTATGAGGCAAAGGGAAAATAAGAGTAAGATGATAAAGATGGAATCAGATCTGAGGGTGGTTCACAAAATGAGTGCCATGAAGTCCTATTTAGTCTTAGATTTTGGTTCTCAGCTTTCTAGCCGCCAAAGTGAAGAGAGAAAAGGATCGATTACAACATTCCCTGTGTCTGTTAGAGAAGAAACCAGAACTGATCTTGAGAGCAGGGAGCAGGCGGTGGGGGCATAAGGCTGTGAAAGAGCTCCTGAGCTGTTTCTTTTAACACCCCTCAATATGAGTCAAGAGCATTTCCATAGCAGAGGGCCAGCAGGTGATACAAATACGATGGTACAAATATGTGGGTGACTTTCTGATGGTTTGGCTCTAGCAAGATTTTTGAGGATCTAGAGCAGCAGCATCCAATAGAAATTTTTGCAGTGGAAACATTCCCTATCTGCAGTGTCCAATAGGGTGGCCACTAGATACAAGTGGCTGTTGAGCCCTGGAAATGTGGCTGATGCAACTGAGGAACTGAATATTTTATTTTAATTCATTAACATTAAATTTTCATACGCTAATGGCTACCATATTGGATCGTACATGTCTAGAGAGAGGGGTGGACTGTATCCTCTAGACCAGCAGTCCCCAACCTTTTTGGCCCCAAGGATGGGTTTCATGGAAGACAAGTTTTCCACGCACCCAGGCTGTGGGGGGGATGGTTTTGGGATGAAACTGTTCCACTTCAGATCATCAGGCATTAGTTATCAGATTGGTGCAAAATTAATTGCATTTTTTTTTTTTTTGCCATTAAAAGTAATTACTTTTAGGTCGGGTGCAGTGCACCTACAATCTCAGCATTTTGGGAGGCCAAGGCAGGTGGATCACCTGAGATCAGGAGATCGAGACCAGCCTGGTCAACATGATGAAACCCTGTCTCTACTAAAAAAAAAAAAATGCAAAAATAATTAGCCAGGCATGGTGGCAGGCACCTGTAATCCCAGCTACCTGGGAGGCTGAGGCAGGAGAATCGCTTGAACCCAGGAGGCAGAGGTTTCAGTGAGCTGAGATCACACCATTACATGTACTCCAGCCTGAGGGACAAGAGTGAAACTCCGTCTCAAAAAAAAAAAAAGTAATTACTTTTAATTATATTACTTTTAATGGCAAAAACTGCGATTAATTTTGTATCAGCCTAATACATTTTCATAAGGAGTGTACAAACTAGACCCCTTGCATGTGCAGTTCACAATAAGGTTCGAGTTCCTATGAGAATCTGATGCCGCTGCTGATCTGACAGGAGGCGGAGCTCAGGCGGTAGTGCTGGCTCACCGCTCACCTCACCTCTGCTGTGTAGCCAGTTCCCAACAGGTCATGGACCTGTGGCCTGGGGGCTGGGGACCCCTGCTCCAGACAGCTCCCATCAACACCTAAGCTTCTGGAAGGTATGGAATGGTCATGAATTAGATAAGACATGCCTTCCAAGTAAGAATTTGAAATGCAATTTTGTGCTCACCAAAGACAGAATCTAAGAACTTGTGAAAACAAAGATGCTTGACAAGCACTAGAGAGAACCGACCATAGGTCAAGACTTTCATCCGAAATTAGGCCCTATGGCATCCGTGGATCAGGAGTCAGGGGGTCAGGAGTCACCTCATTGCGCCGGTTCTGGCCAATGAACTGGGGGGCCACGTGTGCAGGGAGCACGTTCTCCAAGAGCAGCCGAGTCAGGTTCTCCATCGTCTCTGTCTCCTCCCGCTCCTGCCTCAGCTTCTTCTTCCACAGGAAGTCCAGGCGGCAGTAGTACTCATTCTGGGGAGGGTCACCAGGGGCCATGGGGAGACACAGAGCAGGGGAAGCGCAGCTTCTGCGTGTTCAGCCCCAACTCCATGATGCCTGAAACCACCCCCATCCCACCCCCAGTTTAGAAGTAGGGCTTAAGGTGCAAGTATCCTTGGAGAGAGACTATCCTTGAAATTAGATTCAGACTAGGGATACAGAATTGGCAGCAGACTTTTTCTAAAGCATGGGCTTTCCCAGATAGGGGTGTGGGAGAAAGGAGGGACGGGGAGTGGAGGAGAAAGAAAGGAAGCAGGAAGACTCGCTTAGAAGCTTCCAATGGGATTCAACCCTGGAGATTAGAAAGATCAAGTCACAAATATGGGGGCCACTCATAGGTGGGCCCTGGTGGGGCTGAGCTGGGTGACTTACCTGGCGAGCCAGGACAAGGAGGGTGAAGAAGAAGATGAAGAAGGAGATAGCACCCATGAATTTGGGCTCCTTCAGCACTCCGGGCCTGAAGGGGCCATGGATCAGGGTTGCCCCTTGCTCTGCCCCTTCCTGGCCTTCTCCCTGCCCCCAGTGCCCATGAAGGCCTCCGCTTCCCTCCCACTTTGCCCTGTAGGTGATTCAGGTCAGTGAGGCCAGGACAGCTCTGCTGTGTCCCATCTCACCCCCATCCCAGGGGGCCCGGCACCTCTGTCCAGCAGCTGTGCATACCTGGAGTCCAAGGGGCCCAGATAGAGGCGGACGATGAGGCAGTCGGACAGCCAGGCGTGGGAGTGCAGGAAGAGGGAGCAGGATGCTGCCAGCCACAGCAGGAGCAGCAGCAGCTTCAGCTCGAAGCTCATGTGCAGAAAGAGGGAGCAGGAGAGGAAGCCCAGCGTGCAGCAGTGCATGGAGTACTGTGGGGCCAGGCAGGGGTCAGGAGTGGGCATGTCCCACAGGCAGAGGGGGGACCCCTGAGGGCTCCCTT